TTTTTTTTTTTTTTTTTTGGAATGTTGTATAGACTAAGACTATAGAATGTGTTGATGGCAGAAACTGATTGCCTAACAACCATGCTTTTGATATCTTGGTTTTGGTTTAAGTGGGTGCAAATGAAAACAATCAAAACATAATTAGGTTTCTTGTTAGATGATTGTACTTAGCAGTTAAGCAACCACTAGCTTTATTTCATTTGTGTGTCTCTGTCCTTTTTCTTGTTCTGAGTGCATATCCAATAGGACTTGAGAATTATATTAGTAGTCACTTGATCATAAGTCTAAACTAGCATATTTGTTGTACTATAATTTTGACAGGTTGTTTTCTCTTGGGACCACCAAAAGAGGCACTGGATTAGGTCTCTTTTTTGTGAACAAAACCTCATCTGATCTTTTAACTTTCTGTAAAGAACTAAAGATGATTCTGTAATGAAAATTCTTTACTGCCTTTTGAAAGATACTATGATACCCCTAAGCATGTAAGTTTCTCTGTGTCACAGAGACAAACAAGCAGATATGCCATGCTTCCATTTTTCCACTGTAGTTGTGTCCCCTCATAGTAGTTAAAAGATTGTGTCATACTTTTACACAAAAAAAAAAAAAAAAAAAAAAAAAAAAAACATCTTGTATGATTGATTGTGGAAATTGTCTGATTGATTGTGCAAATATCCAAACCAAAGAAAGTAGAAACATAAAACTACTCTGTAAAAACTTTTACATGCTGAATAATTTGTGTTTGGTGTCTTGTTTGTGGGGGTGACCGGCTCTTGACGATTGGTTGCGTAGCTGTCTTCGGTATTGCTCGTCTGCGGTTGAGGAGCGCTTTAGTTTAGCAGTTGTGTTTAGTTTTGTGTTGGGTTTATTTGCGTTAGCACGTGTGTTTTGTGGTTGTTGTTGTTGTTTTTTTTTTTTCGAAACGATAGGTATTCTCATACATAAAACCGAATAATACAGAGTTTATACAACTACGACCAAATGACCAAATAAAACATAAAACCGAAGGCAAAGCCGAGGAGACTCGTACATCAACAACATAGGGTCTAGACTAACAAACACCAATAACATACCAAGGGCAATGATCAAACACTGAATCCCCCAGGATATACATAGGGTCTAGACTAACAAACACCAACAACATACCAAGGGGTTTTTGACCTAAGAGAGCGCGAGGATCGGCAATGATCAAACATTGAACCCCCCATGATGACAACTAACCCCACAAACAAAACAAAATGAAATACATGGCACAAGAACCCAATTCTAGCCACTGTACTAGAATTAACCAGACTTACCTAGTGTTGAGTCTTGCCACTCGAGAACATGCTCCTGTCTCCACAAACTCTGTCCAGTCCCGCACTGCTGCTTTAACAATGATCTGCTCAGACCTCCATATATCTTCAAATTGCCACAGGTTATGAGTCTTCCAAAGCCACCATAATATATATGTTGCCAACTAGATTCTATCTTCTGCTGAGTGATCCACAGTGCAAATTTCACTCCACCAATCTCTAAACCTGCAGGATTGAGTAGGACCACCATCCCAAATAACTGGAGATTTACAAACCATTTTTTCTCTTGTACATCTCAAGAATATGTGCTTAATTGATTCTGATTCTTCCACACAACATTTGAACATGACATACATTGCCATCCTTCTGTGTCTCGATTCACATTTACTGGTAAATGTCACTGTAACACTTCCACACAAAGTGCTTAAGTTTTCCATGCACCTTTTGTTTCTAGCTCCTCTTCCTTATTACCCTTTCTTTGTCAGCAGTATCACTACCTTCTGCTAAGTCCAACTTTTGTAGTTTCTTGCACATTAAAAAACAATAAGAAACTGAAATTGAGAATTTCCTATCTGTAGCCAGCTTCCATCTCCACTTATCCTCCTGCTTCACTGAACACTTTTCTTGCCTTGTCATCCACCCAGCTCCCACTGCGTCTATCAAATCTTTAACTCTCCCACTGCGTCTATCAAATCTTTAACTCTCAAATTCCTGTTGCTATCTCTACCTTGTCTGTTGGGTTGTTGGTTTGTTTTTTTTTTTTTAAGTGTGTTATTATCCCCTTGGGAGTGTGTTTATTCTCCCTTTAGGAGCCTTTATTTTTTCTTCTAGCCGTGTAGTGTATGTTGTGATATCTAGGCTGCCTTGTGTAGTCATCCTATTGGCTAGTTAGCATGTTGTAATTATGTGTTTTAGTTAATGAATTTGTGATTTCGAAAAAAAAAAAGGAACAATTTGTATTCAATATGAAGGATGGTTTGGCTCCATCTGGAGAAAAAAGATTTTGAACCAATAATAAATGACCTATTCTTGACAAAATTAAAATCATGTTATCAAGGTCCTATCCGAACTTATTTCAACACATAGTTATGTAGTCCATTTTATTATCCTCGAGAGAATTGTGTGGACCTATGTAAATTAAAGACCAACTCCAACTGGTACCATACTCAAACGCAATTGGTAAAAAATGGGATTTTTTGCTCCAACCCTATAGTTAAAATGGAAAATGGATTAGGGAAAAAAAATTTGAGCAACCTGATGTTTGCCCACTTTGAAAAAATACAACCTAATCATTTTAAATTGATAAAAAGCAACCTGAACTTATCAGTTATGTTAAAAACCAACCCAACCAGCCGGATTGCCTTAAAATTCACCAGAAAATTGGTCCGGCAACCTACTTCCCAGGGCACTTTGGTCATATCACATGATTTAAAAGGGCATCCTTGTGTTTTCCGCACAACACTGAATTTCTTAGCCATTTTGCCACCATTTTTTAGTCATTTAAGTAAAATTATGGCACAATTCCGCCATTTTTCCCCAAAGTTCTTGCGAGCTTGGATTCTACAACTCAAAAATGAGTTGGAAGATTTGCGATCAACAGACTTTCATTCCCTCCGACAGAATGACGCCATATTACGGTGAGTTGGTTGTAGTTCATATCAAGGTGTTGAAACATTTTTTTGAAGAAGTTCATATCAAAGTGTTGAAACATTTTTTTTCCTTACAGGTGTAGTCCATGATTATGATACACCATGTCCAACACCCATCTCGATTTCATCCAAATTAAAAAAAAAAAAAACAAAATTAGGGTTTCAAAATTTGAAGAACATACCCATGTTTTTGCACGACATATATCTTCGTCCAGGGTTGAGGTCGGTCCATGACGTTCTCGTCACCACAATTTTCACACAACGGCAAAAACGTTCCACAGCAAATTCGGCGGTTCGCTTCCACTCCATTTTCCCCAAAATTTCTGAAACATAAGACAAAGTGGAAGAAGAAGAAGATATCGGGCCTCACATTCTGTTTTGTTTTTCTTATTGGCAATTTAAATTACCAAAATACCCTTAAAATGCCATTTTTATCATTTTCCGGCAATCCGGCTGGCTGGGTTGGTTTTTAACATAACTGATAAGTTCAGGTTGCTTTTTATCAATTTAAAATGATTAGGTTGCATTTTTTCAAAGTGGGCAAACATCAGGTTGCTCAAAAAATTTTTCCCAATGGATTAATATGCATTTTCTCTCTCCTCCAATATCAAATTTGCGCTTGCACAGTTCATAGACGCAAATCTTTTGTGAATTACAGATGAGTATTTATATTTACAAGTTTTGTTCTTTTAACCTATTATTAATTTTGTTTCAATAATAAAAAGTTTATATATATTTAATTATATTAAAATTTTACAATAATGTTAAAAGTTGTGGGAGGATTTTATTATTCTGAGACTTGAGAGACTATCTATTTTTTACTTGTGCGTATAATTATTTTATTTTCATCTCAATGTATATTTATTTTCCTACTTTTTCATTGTAATTTTTAATTTTTAATGCATAAATTTTATGATGTACAAGAGTTATAACTTTATAATTAATTTTTAAGTGCATAAATTTCAAATAGAATTGTAAATAATAGTGTGGTTTAATTTTCAAGTTGTAAAATATGTGGGTAGTATTGAAAAGTTAAAAGTTGATGTAAAAGAACATATTCCGAGGATATTATTTTGGGTTTGAGAATGAGTTTTTCGAATAGAGATAAATTACTGTTCGTTGTGACAATTTCTGCAAAATAGGTTTGAGAATGATTTTTTCAGTTAAAGATGACCTAAGTGAGAAAACCGACATGGTGATACCGTAAATGATTGGGAGAATCAAGAGAAAACTCTACGTATGTTTTTTATTTCAATCAAAACTCGACTCCCTTCAAACAAAAAAAATTAGAGTCTTAAATAGATCTTCTATCAACTCTAGTGAAATTATCTACCAATAAAAGGACTGTGATAAATATAAAATATACTTCTTACCAAATCAAGAACTAATAATAGTAAAATAAAAAGAATAAATTAATGAAATCTAATGATGCCAAATGATCATGCTTGTCCAAAAGGACCAATGCAATCTCGTCTTCATCATTCTCCCCTTCATGAGAAGGATCCGCCCTCAAATTCGGCAAAATCTCACCTCCATTGAAATTATCACCGTGAAAAGGCACCAAATGCTTGTCATTGAAGATGTCAGACGTGTGAATGTGTGAAGGAAACCAAAGGCGATAGGCATGGGGAAGCAACCCGGAGCCTGAAAGAGGCGGGCCCTTATATACGGTCGACTCCTCGTCATAAAAGAAGAGGCAGACCTCATATTCAGTCCCCTGATCATCCTCAAGGGCCCCTGAAAATTCTGAGATCTCGACCTGAGACGATGACATCGAACGTCGATCATCAGCGAACCGGCCCTGATCCTACACCGCCATCATACATAACAAATTTATGTCGGAGACAGTGTCCTTAAGATCATCATCGACGAAGAACAACGGGGGCGATCAAGAGTGGGACGCCCCACAAGTACCCCGACCGCGTCCA